TCGAAGGTCTGAGCCTGGGCACCAGAATGCCGGATGGCGCCAAGTACGAAATCCGAAAGTGGCAGAGGCGGGATTTGAGAACGGGCGCCAACTGCAGAGGGCACGAACAGTCAGGAACTGGAGATCAGAGACTCCAAAAAAAAAAGAATAGCAGCCTGGCGGGTGGTAACCCGCGGATCAGGGATCGAGCCCTGGCTGGGTCCGTAACAACACCACTGTTATAGGAGCAGTTTGTTCTAGTTGTTTTCTTGGGAACCACCTACCATCTTCTGGCTCCTGAAGCTGAAACTGCATGTTAAACTTCTTTCTGATGTCAACCTCGTCCACCTGTTCTAAAGGTTTCATGCTCGCTGTTCCTGTCTATGGCATGTGCACCATCTATATCAGGTGGTATCATCAATCTATGCAACGGGAAGTGAACTCGCAGGCAAGAGGTTGGTGTTACATGACACCCCAGGTACTTGCCCCCCAACCTAGCGCAGCAGATAGAACCGTTGGGAAGGGTTTGGGGAGCACTGCCCGATGGGCTATCACCAAGATGAGAACTAGACAGCTCGGTTGGGAAGGAGCAGATCAGGGGTTCGAGGGGAACACTGTTCTAGGGGTAGGAGTGGATTGGGGGGAGCAGGGTAGTGGCAAGTGATAGATGGGAGGGGACCACTTGGGGAGCACTGTTGTGCAGGGCATCATCAAGGAGGGAGGCGAATGATCCGAGGGAGCAGTGGCAGATTGGGGTATGACCTACTCTGGGCCTTGGGTTACAGAGGGCTTGGTCCACCCTAGGGGGAGCACTACTCTGTGAAGGCACCATCATGGAGGGCAGCGTCCTTGTAGCGAGGGTGCAGATTAGGCTGTCATATCCTGGGTCGTGGGTGGCGGGGTATTGTCATGGGGCTTAGAAGTGGTTTATCTAAATAGGAGGGGAGGAATGGTTATCAAATGACGAATCACTAGTAGACCACCAGACAGAACAGAAACGACGGTTGTCCTGACCTTAGAGGGGGGGGAGTAGGATAATTGACCATAGCAAGAGGTATGACTGAGACAAAGAAGAACCATAGAAAACAGGAACTAAGCATCTTAAATGTGTTTAATTTGAGTTTTCATTATCCATCATGGAAAACAATCTAATTTGAGTTTTCATTATCCATCATGGAAAACAATCTTCTTTTTGCAGTATTGCTTCCATGATATTAGGAGCATTAGCCTCAGTGGATCAAAAGAAGAAGAACAACAATAATAACAAGATGATGTGAAAGCTGTGCTATAGGGGTGTACCTGGGTAGCTCAGGGGCTGGCATAGATTAGACCTTGGCCTTGGCCATTAGACCCTACCTCTGGGAGCTCAGGGACAATGCTCAGATATATGGAGGGACCCACGTACTGAACTTTGGGGGGCACTTAGGGTCCAAACTGTCGCATACCATAATAGTACAGACCAGTGCCAAGAACCGACATCTCTCACATAGTACAAGATAGCGCAGCGGAAGGCTAATATACCAATGCTCCGAACAATCAAGGTTGAAATGCAGACCAAACAGACATCATCATCATTCCATGGTGTGAAGGGGCCTGGCGCTCACACAGGAAGAATGCGCTAGTCCCCAACCATACACAGACGAAGAGGAGGGGGGTTAGACGAAGAAGAGGGGAAGATGGGAATGTCGTCAACACCAAGTCTTCGGTACAGGTGCCAAATAATCCATCGTCCAATGTCTCAATCCCAATGTCGAGTCTGAATCCAAATGTCGTCAAGTCCCGAAGTCACCAATCTCTTTCTCTCTCGTAGTCTGCAGATACTGAGAAGTTAGGTAGCGAGAGGGTGAGGGAGAGATGGTGGACTTAGAAGAGGAAGAAAAAGAACTCTCTCTCTCTCTGTCCGGTACTAACCTGTGAAGGTGGCGCCTTGTTGCAGGTACATCGGAGATGAAGCTGTAGCTATGGCGCCATAGGTAAGTCTCGCTGGCCTCTGCCAACCATCTCTCTCTCTCCAACTCTACTCTAGTTCCTAATAGTGCCCAGCGCTGAAGACTACTGCTAACGCTACTACTACTATTGCAGCGCTCCTCCAGGGTGCTGCTGCCGAATCCTGAAGACTGCCTCCTGCCTCCTGCACGTGAAGTGCCTGGGAAGTCCCTATCCACTACCTGCAGCCTGCAGGGCGGGCCAGTCTTATATAGTGCTGGCCCGTCCAGGAGGCTGCTCTTGCCAGTGCCAAACGTGCCAGACCCTGGCCTTGAAGTTCAAACAAAGGTGGTCTTGAAAACAGGCCCAAAATGGCCTGCGCTAAAACCCTGGTCTGGTGCCTAAGTTTCAGGGCAGGCCGATCTTATGAGGGCCTGAAAATTGCCCTCCGTTTCAGGCTGAAAAGACTCAGGGCCTGGAGGGCCCTGTTTTAGGCTGAACTGACACAGGGCCTGTAGGCCCTCGTTTTCAGGCTTTCAGGCTGAAACGACACAGGGCCTGTACGCCCTCGTTTTTAGGCTGAAAGGGTGGAACGACGCAGGGCCTGTAGGGCCTTGTTTTCAGGCTTTTAGGCTGAAAACGATACACGCCCTGATTTTCTGTCTGGTCGGGCCTTGCAGACCCTTGTGGCTGCGCAATATGCCACCCCCCTCCCTCCTTGAAAGACTGAGCTTACCTGCGAGGGCGAAGCTGCCTGTCTGAGGGAGGGACCAAAGTCCGGGTGGGAGGGGCAGGTTGTGAAGCTTCCTTAGTTGTCGTTCGTAGTGAGCGTAGATCAGTGGTGCGGATGCTTTCAAATCTGCTCCTGAAATCCATCGAGTGTCGTCGGGATCGGATGCTTTGAAGGTAACTTTGTATTGTCGAGGCTTGCTGCCGTACCTGCGATCCGTGATGACGCAGTCAACTTCCTGATGACCATCCATAGATGGAGGGTTGCCAGCTTCGAGGCGTGAAACACTGGATGGACCGTCAGATGCGGGGGAATGTTGATCACAAATGAGGGGCCATCAGGCTCATCGCCCGCTGCTGATGTTACGGGCCATGGTCCAAACCACTTGGGGAGTAGTTTGTGCGAAACATCCTGTTCAAGTGCGAACTCTTCCGCAGAGACCCAAAGCAGATCACCGACATGGATGGGACAGGGCACGTGACGCCTATTGCGGGGCTTGCTTCGTCGGCAAACTTTACAAGAGTCGCAATACCGAATGACATTGGCAATGAGGTCGGTCCATCGGAATCGTGGCCGAAGTCGTGCAATAGTGCGATTGACTCCGAAATGGCCGGCGAGTCGTGAGTCATGGTGCTCACTTAGAAGGCGAGTCCGAAGACGACGGTCTCATGGGACACACAATAAGTCCTTGCCTCACGAATGAAGAAGCAAGTACCCGTTGGTGATGCGATAATGGCTGGCCGACGGGTGATCCGAAGATAGTTGCGCATATAGCATGGCGAAATCTGGATTGGACTGGTAGCCCCGAATGAAATGTCGCTGA